CCGTGAGTTAGTAGTTAGAGCTTTGGGATTTGAATCAGAGGCTTTAGGTTCGGTACTCGTCTCGAGCAGTCTGATGTCAAACAAAAATTACATCGGTTTTACTTGGAATTATAGATATAAATATGTTTCTAAGTAGAAATAGCCTCTATCCGGCATTGCTGCATCAGCACTGTTACGGAAATTTTTAAAGCAAAATTTATGACATAGAGATAGGACAGCTATTTGGGCTGCAATCTATAAAAACGGCGTAGTTAGTTTAGTAAAATCATCACAATAGCTCACTCAACCCTTAAGTTCTTATCGCTGTTCAAAAATATATTTAAAAAAATCGCGAGCAAATACGATTAGCTTTTTTAGCACCAAAATTGTGAAAAGAGTGTGTGTAAGTATGTGAGTTAAATTTTGACCTTTTGCCACCGTTTTCTCAAAAATAGCTGCACCAATATCAAAAAATTAAATACCATTCAACACGTTGATAGCCATGTCTGTCATATGTGTTTGACACTAATAAGTTCTACATGATCCATTAGACATATATGTGTAACATACGCAATTTGATAAGAGAAGAAAGTATTGTTTTAAAAGATGTATGACATATGTCAAATAGTGCTTTTTCAAGATTTTTTGATGCTTTTCTTAATACATTTTGAATTAAACTATCCAATAAAGTTACCATGGCCCATGTAATTTTTTTTCTGATATTATCATAGCGATTAACGTGTTAATCTGTTTCGATAAGGACTCGCTGATTAGTTTTGTGTTAAGATCGGTCAAGGGGTTTCTTTATAATTATCAAATGAGTGCAAAATTTTTCGACCACGTTCTAGCCAAAAATTCTGAACCGATTTTGAAAATTCAAAAACTGTCCGAAAGATATGAGTCGGAATTGTTATTATAGGTTTTTGGTAAATATCAGCCGGGCCGTTTTTTCGTAATTATTTGTAAATATTTATTTTTTGAAATATTTTTTATGATGATTACGAAAATTACATAAACGGAGACCAACAGCCATTAGAGACCGTATACGGTACAGTTCGCGATCACAATCTTTATTTCAGATGGTAGATTAATTATATACATTATGATGTTTTATGTTTCATATAACTTAAGCGGATGCTCGATGGAAACAACCGAGTTTCCGGAACCAATAACAATGTGAGAGATGAGTCTGACATTCTAGGCACCGTACTGAACGTTGACATATGACCAGTTTTAAACAAGAAATAATTCGTAAAGATACAGATTCTGATATAGATATGTAAATGAGAACGTTTTTCACTTGATTGATGTAAAATTATGCACAAATTTAATTCTTTAAGATGAATTTATTATTTATTTATTAATAACTAGCTGTACCTACGACTTTGTTGTTTGCGTGGAATTTAACAAAAATGTTAAAAGTTTTTGCATTTTTATTTTAATAGACATTTATTTTTAATTTTTTTTATTAGTTTCACTGAATAATTTTGTTTATATACAAAATTTGGTGTGCGATTCTCTTGGGTTGAAACAACTACTTTTTTGGCCTTTTTCATGTTTCTATAGGGATCTGACTTTTTTCTAATCATAACTAATATGTGTACATTTGAAAAATAAAAAATATTCATCAATTTGAATGTGAATTTGAAAATTGGAGACAAGTGTACTTAATTTATAATTATTACTTAAAGGTAAAAAATAGCAAAAATGTGACAAATTAGCTTAAATTCAAATAGAATAGATATATAACATATAAGATATGTAAGATTATTAAAATATTTATCGATGAGATAAACCATGAAAGAACCAAATGAACGAATTCGCAGATCAACTAATTCGAATGATTAAAAAAAAACATTCGATTCCTATTGATGGGGAGACGTACTAATTAGTTTTGGCAAAGGCAGGTCTAGCCGTTTGGAAGATAACGGGCAAAAGTGCAAAAAATGACAATTCAGGTTTCGATAGATTCGGAGCATACGATTTGAATGTTTCACTTCAAAAACATTTCACTTGTATCAACGGAATGAAAAACTGATCACATTTTATGAAAGGCAGGTCCAGCGATATTGGAGATCTAAAAAAAATTGATTAGACCGTTATTTTACGGAGATTTTTATAATATGTACAATATTTATCACCATTTCTATAGGTACCGTATCAATTTTTATAATGAAATGTCCTTGACATTTTCGACAATATGAATCAACCGACTTGAATGGGTTTCAAAATTTCCAAAAAAATCGATTTTTTTTTTCAAAAATTTAAAAAAAAAAAAAAAATTCAAAAAGTTGATTTTTTCAAATACTCTCAAAAATTTTTTTTTTAAATTTTTCAAATAATTTTAAACTACAGTACAGGAAGTTCCAGAAATTTGCTAATAATAAAATAAAATAAAATAAAATAAAAGTAGCCTTAGTTACTCTCAATTACATCGTCTACCTGGTAATAAATGTAGTGTCATAATCGGTCAGGCCGTTTTGGACATTAACTCAAACGAATCATTTATTTCCGGAATACAGAAAAATATATGTTTTGATATGAATATTCATAAGACAAAAATTATAATTATTAAATTATAGTAGTATAGTTGATGGTTTAGTAATTTGTAGAAAAAAAATTGTTATTTATTTTACTTACCAGTACACCTCTGAAGAGCTGTGATTCTAATTTATTTGAAACATCATTAGGCGACCGTCTTATTTTCATAGTAGAGACTTGGAACCTGCGTCATGGTTGAATTTGCAAGCAACTCAACCATAGGTTCAATCCTTAACAATTGTGGTCAACAAGTGTATCTACAAAACAACAATGTAATCACACCTGTGCCCTGGTCGCGTACGTTGAAAGGTTTTCTTAGGGAGTGGCTTGATGTAAATGATGATTCTGACGGTATACAAGTGCAAATCAAAAAATCGTTGCTTTATGGCTAGTTAACAAAATATAAACTTTATGCTAAGATGACAAGAATTGATAGTTGCAACTACATGGTAAAAAAGCTATTTGAAAATAACTTTCCATATTTAATAAAATCAATTCAAAACTCAAGTTTGTAAATATCAATCTCGAAGTATACTATATTAAGACATTACAAAATCGTATACATTTCTGTTGATCGTTTTGGGTTTTATGCAAATAGTAAAACTAGATACATTACTCACGTACACTAATTAATAGTCACCATAAAAGGTATGCAGACTATCTCTCTATCAATATAATTTATAGGCGTGACTACACAGCTTCACTTTATTTAAAAAAATATTATTATAAAAATAGATATGAAAGCATTCAATTTCAATTAAAATGATTTATGATTCAGTCTTTATAAAACTCTCGATATTAAATAAAAATAAACTAAATAATAGCAAATAACACACAATAAATAATATATATTTTATATTATATTATATTATAGATTGAGTTATTATGCACAAGTAAATATATATTCTCAATGATTGTTACAGTAATTTTTTCAATAGCTAATCTTTCCAAATTAGAAAAGGTACAGAAATATTTTGGGAGACATCGGACAAACGTGGTTGAGCGTTAGATACGTATATACATTTATAAAAAAATAACGATACATCATACAATAACAATTTTTAATTCAAACACACGTATAGTGTCATTAGATGTTCGACATGCCTTTTTGCACGTCTTCTGGTTTATATCATATTATATGATTTTTAAATATTGAATATAAATTTTTCTATATACCAGTAGTCCGGCAATATTTGGCAAATCGAATCAACTTTCAACCGATAGTCTACATGTCTCTCTATTAGACTTGACATCTTTATAGATGTACATATCTCTATATAGTTCCTATGTTTCAAATATCACAAAATTACAACAGCCTTTCTTGAACAAGTGTTTCAGCCGCCTGTCTATCTCGCTTACATTTCTGAATACGACGGATTACATTAAGGGAAATGAGGATTAGGCAATGGGTGTTTACATACAAGAAGAAGGCGAAATTTTAATAAAAATGTTTTAAATGTGATATAATACAACAACCAGGATAGTCAACAATATTATATTTATTTGAAAGTTAAATAATTTGATATCATATATTTTATATACACATAGGAGGGTTTAGTCGTTTTTTTCTATATTTACAATATTATAATAATCTGGCACGGTCGCAGGGCTGTGCCCGTCGCGTCCTGATCCGGCGCGCTCGCTCAGTGCAGGTATTTGGCTATATCAATTAGACCGTAAATAGGCCGTCGTATGTTTTGTACGCTTATTTTAATGTGGCTACTGCCCACAAAACAATATAAATATTTGAAAATTTTTATTCGATGTAAACTATCGAGCGTCGGGCGGCACATATGCGACGGTAAGGTATGACGGTGTGACGCGCACATTTATGGCACATAATGTGGTACAGTGAGTTGCTTGGACATCCACACAGTACACTGAGATCATGCCGCGGCACAATAGTGTTTTGGTTTACCGTCGCATGTGTGCGCTTGACCTCACAAACAATCGAGGAACTGAACACTATTAATGTCCAATGAGAGGTGCTAAAGACACTTAATTTTAAGGCAATTTCCCGGCATGTGGGTCAAAAATAGTCCCTGTCTCCTGTATTTATTTTACATGCGCGCTTTCTACTGCGACATGACTATCCGAAAATACAAAAAATTAAATAAAACAATTATAAATATTTATCGAAATTCTAGAAGACGAGAGATATAAAACTTACGGTTTGGAATGTTTGATAAAATAGTTAATAAGGTTATTGGCAACACGTAAACTTCTATATTTACTCGTCCTTGCAATTATTTATTAATTAAAGCTATTTGTTAATCATTTACTCGTTGTTATTTGCCAGCGTTAGGTATGTGCATCGCTCGGTATTTTAACCGATCAGAGTCCGGTGTTTCGTCTATGGCAGCTTGAAACAAGGACCACACATTTATACTAAAATTAAATTAAATGTTCTTAAAATTCGATAAACAATATACGATTTAATAATAAATAAGTCTGTCCTTTCAGCGATATCAAATGGCACATTGAAACCACATTTTCACGAGTCACTCAAAGTTCAGCCACGGGTGGGGAATCACAGATAGCCGGCGAACACATAGAGTTCATCCCTCCATTCACACCAGATGACACAGGTAATTCTTGTTGTGCATGATGATTCTGCGACTGTTTATTCTCTTTTTTCTGCCGTTGCTTAAGGTGCACCTTTGCATGCCTTTTCTTCTCATCAGATCGCGCAAATTTTCGACCGCATATGTCACATGAAAATGGTTTTTCACCCGTATGCGTTCGAATATGTGTCGTCAAATGATCCGATCGTGAGAATGACCGCATACAAATTCGACATTGAAATGGTTTTTGACCCGTGTGTATCCGAATATGCCTTGTCAATTCATCTGATCGTGAAAACCTCCGATCACAATTTTCAACAGGGCAGGCGTATGGTCTTTCATGTACGGGCGTTTTACTCGGTCTATTTGGATATTTCCGTGGTTTAACTGGAACTAATTTAAGCGGTACCGCCGATTGTTGGTAAACTTGAGACAATATTTCGTGTCCTTTACTCGTCGACGGATTATATTCTGCGAGTTGTACCGCATAATTTGTTCCTGTGCCGAGTTGTTGCGTGTGCGTTTCTCCGACACTGGTAAATGGCTCTTGCTTTAATACTAAACCGGTGCTAACAGGGGTTGTGGATTGTGGACTGCAATAATCGATCTGCGCTGCGTTATCAAGCCACTGATACTTCGCAGAAAGCGGCTGGCGGTAATTCATGTCATTTTGTGCTTCGATGCCGCACGTTGAGTATGCGGGTGGTTGTTTATGGCATTCCATACCTGTGCCTAAACCTAAAAGTTCCTGGTGCGATCGTTCGTCATAGTGTGTTCCTGCAGGCGACGGTGCAGCGGACGTCGTGTAATGCGGCTGTTGCGCTGACGGGTGTGAATGGGGATGTGTCGGCTGCGTGAGTAGCTGGAACATTGGTTGAAACATATTTTTGTCCGGACTAGGCAATGTCCAGTGCAGGCCTGATGATGGTGGAGAAAATCCTGAACTTGTTGTCGTTCCCGGTTGTGCAGGCATAGGGCTGGGTGATGTCGTAAACGTGCCCCGATACGGCCGCGGGTGAGCAGGGTGCGAAGGGTGATGCGGGTACATTGTAATACTACTATTATTGCTTTCTTCCTCTTCATGCTGCGTAGTCGGACTACCACAGAGACTCTGGCCATCAGGTGCTTCTTGTTTCTGCTGCGAATGAGGGCTGGTGAGGCTGCGACAAGGACTGCCTGATGGATCCAGGGATAACTCATCGGTGTCCAGGGATCCTAAAATAAAAAAATATTTTATATTAATTATCTTGCTCTGTACATTCGATGAATGAGATTCTCGCATGCGACACTTCCTGTGGCCCCGCGCGCCTATCGTTGCAGTGCAATACTATTTATCAAGAATGCTTCCGTTTACGAAATTATCACAGCGAAATAATCGTTTGTTGTACGTTATCCTACCAGCAAATTAAAAATTATAGTCATTTTATACAATGATGTAGACTTTTTAGATATATCATAATAATAGACACGCTTAGATCATATTGCATTCATTTAACAGGTACCATATATTCAATATGATACGTGGAAATCATATTTGATGCCGTAGAGAAATTCCGCATGGGTTAGATAAGTATTCTCTGAAGGAAAGGCACGCATTTGCAATCGCAGCTTTCAATATCATATTACAGACGAGCTTTTTTATACATGTATTTACATTTAGTTGTATTACAAGGGTAGTATTAAAATTATACATAAAATCTTAAATTATAGATAAATATATAATATAAATTATATATAATTATATAATATTATATATATATATATATATATATATATATATATATTTAAAATAAAATAAAAATAGAGTATTTAATAAACATACAAAATTTTAAACAACAAAAATATTTGAAATTTATTCATGAATGCATTTCCCCAAAATCCATTTTTTATCATGCAAAAAACGCCAATGAAAGAAATACATCTTCATCCGTTCAAAAGACATTCATGATTATTCCTTATCGAAATAATAAAATTTTCACTTACGATTAAGTCAATTACTTCATACATAATTGGATAAATATTTGTGAAACGTTTTAAAATCCATGCATTCAATCATGAGACTACGTGTTAATGTATTCATTACCAGTTCTGTGAAATTAGTCATTTACATTACATTTGCCATTTGATGAGATTGAAGGCTTCTGCATGTAAAAACCAGTATGATAAAAATGTTCGTAATGTATTGTTGAACTTGTTCAATTTTAAGATTTGTCGAAATAGAAAATATCGATGGGAAAGTTAAACTCATTCGGTAGTAGATAATGGATCAATGGAATTAAAACATTTAACAAGGAGTAATTTTTAATGTTTGTGTATGAATGATAATGCTGTGAGTAAAATAAAGCTACATAAACTTTACATTTTTGTATAAGAAAAATTTAAATGACATATATAGAAAAAGATAATAATTGCGTTTTAATGTAATTTAGAATTATATATATATATATATATATATATATATATATATATGTGTGCATGACATGCAAAATTACAGGACGGAACTTTATCAACGCTAACAACAAAGCTGATTATTTTAAATATATAATTTATTCACTTAATGGATAAAAATTATATCCAAATTACTGTTTTTACTATTTTATAATGTGTTGATATTTAAATTGTCAGTAATATTTATAGTATTAACATAATTTTAATTGACGATAATATTTATAGCTATCATACAATGTATGATCATGCCCTAGGACATGATCACATTCTAGGAATCGATTAATTTTACGACCATACCGGTAATGTGAAATTTATGTAAATGTCGTAACATTGACAGATATTAATTTCTTACAGCATCATTGAAACAATTATTGCAACTGTAAAGCTATAAACTTT